ATATCACTAATATGCAAATAGACTCAACGGTGGAACAACCGAACAACTGAACAACCAAACAACCGGTTGCTATGATGTGCGCTGACCACCAGGGGGTGCATGTGGAACATGGTGGGCATCGGCAGCAGGTGGCAGAGTGCGGAACATGGCAAGCATCAGCTGTGGCGAGATGGTGGAGCAGGTGAGCGGGGGCGCCAGACCAAGGCAGGGCGCTGGTTGCTGTCATCGGGGAAAGCCTCTGGTGGTTACTGAAAATTCTTTGCTCCCGTGCACCACTGTCCCACCAGCGCTTGCACCTGCTGCCAGCGCCCAGTGCCAGTCCCGATCGCTTGGCGCCGTCAGTGGGTACAAGCAGCAGCTGCCACCAGCCCCGACTGCCACTGGAGGGCTTCTCCATCTCCCCCTGCTCCTCAGGGGCAATTGGGGCAGCAGCTGCCAATCACACCCGCTGACGACACTGGCCCTCTGGTGGTTACTGAAAATTCTTTGCTCCCGTGCACCGCTGTCCCACCAGCGCTTGCACCTGCTGCCAGCGCCCGGTGCCAGTCCCGATCGCTCCGCTCACACCCGCTGCTGGCGCCGGCTCCAATTGCTCCGCTCTGTCAGCGGGTGCGAGCGGGCCGGCGCTGTCAGCTCATGGGAGTGGTGGCGGTGAGAGCAGGGCTGTCAGCAGACAGGGGCCACAGTGGGAGGGACTGGGTGGGGCGCAGAGGATAGGCCAAGACCCGCCCTGTGCCCACTGCAGCCTGGTAGTCCACAGTTCCTTTCAGGGTGCACGAATGCGTGCACTGGGCCCCTAGTATCTGATAAAGGACTTGCATCTAGAAAATATAAGGAAATCTTACAACTAACTCAGTAAGATGACAAACAACCCAAGTTAAAAGTTGGCAAAAGACTTAGGCATTTTTCCAAAGAAGACATATAATAGCTAACAAGCACACTAATCATTAGGAAAATGCAAATTAAAACCACAATGAGATACCCTTATATATCCACTAGAATGGCTATAATTAAAACAACTGACAATACTAAATGTTGGCAAGTGTGTGGAGAAACTGGAAACCTCATCATTGCTGGTAGAAATGTAAAATGGTACAGCCAATTTGGAAAATAATTGGCAGTTTTTCAAATTTACCATAAAACTCAGAATTCCACTGCAAGGAATCCATCTAAGAGAAATGACAAGATATTTCCACACAAAGAATGTTCATAGAAGCATTATTCATAACAGCAAAAAATTAGAAATCCAAATATCTATCAACGGGTGAATCAAAATTAAATATTGTATAGTTTAATTTATAAGAAATGCCCAGACAAGACAAATATATAGAGAAAAAGAAATCAGATTAGGTGATTGTCTAATGCTGAGGGTAGGAGCAGAGATTGAGCAAACAAACTTTTTGAAATAATAGAAATATTGCCCTAGCCAGTTTGGCTCAGTGGATAGAGCATCGGCCTGCAGATTGAGGGTTCCTGGGTTCGATTACAGTCAAGGGCACATGCCCATATTGTGGGCTTGATCTCCATAGGGAGCGTGCAGGAGGCAGCCGATCAATGATTCTCTCTCACTGATGCTCCTATCTCTCTACCTCTCCCTTCCTCTTTGAAATCAATAAAAATATATTGAAAAATAATAATAAAAATATTATAAAATGATGCTAGTGATGGTTGCCCAATGCTAAAAATTTGCTTTAAAAAAATCATTAAATCATTTACCTACAGTGGGTAAATTCTGTAGTATGTAAATTATATCTTAATTAATTCATTTTAAAGGTTTGGATGGGCAATCCTGGGCCCCACCCTGGACCCCACCCCAGACCTTTGAACCAGAATCTCTGGATATAAAGCTTAAGAATGTACATTTTAACAAGTTCACTGGGTGATTCTCCTGTACAGGGATCTGGCTTTGGATAACCTTACCAGAGCTCAATAATTTACTAGATCAGGTTGCAATTAATTTAAGTCATAAAACTCAGGTTAGAAAAGTAGGAATTTGTTTAAACCATGGGGTTTCCATCCTGGTGTTAAGAGAAATTCTTCTGAGAGTTATTAAGAGGTGACCAACTATAAAGATGCTCACAGTGCAACAAAAGTTGGTTTAATTGTTAAAGTCAAGGAAGTCCCCCCACTCCCATAATTTCCATATATTTAAATATAAATTGTCAAAAGGAAGATTTAGCAATTTGGGAGATGCAAATTTCCGTAGTTTATTTGATCACAAAACCTTTTTTCCTTCTGAAGATCAGAACTTGTATTTCAGAGAAAGCCATATTAGGCATGGGAAACTCCAAACTAGACCTTATTTTAACAATATGCTCTAGTTTGAGAGAGAACACACAATATCCAAGTCTTAGAATTTGAGTGAAAATTTTAGAATCTGAGTGAAAGAATGACATTTCCTTACAGACAGAAGTAATCACCTAGCTTATTGCAAACTTTCTTTTGGCCGAGGACCTATTTCATAAAGTTAAATTTTAACTCAGAAGAATATAACACATGAAAAAGAAGGGGGCAGAAGTTTAAGTTTATGGTTTAAGGAGAGGTAGAGTGGGAGCCCAAAGCCTCCATTTGCTCCTACTTCCCTGTGCTCCCCACCCTGATTTCTGGGTCTGGGAAGAACTTCTGTGATTCCTGGGAATGCACTAAACCCACGGAGCTTGCTCTCCATATAAATGTGAAGGCTTATGAATTTAGAAATTAGAGATACATGGAAATGTAACAGTCTGGGCGTTAAGGCCACTTTGTGAAAGGGGCCTGGCCTCTATTTAAACCTTGGCATTTTTGGTGGGCTGAACTGTATGGGGTCTCTCTGAAACCAAGGGCCAAACAGGGGTGACTTAGGGGCTTAGAACAGAGAGAAAATGTTGGCTTTAGGAAAGCCAGTCAGCTAGGAAGGAGTCAGAGGCTATCTATGGAGACAAATAAGAAAGAACTAGAAATAGTATTCCAGAGAGAATTCTGGGCAGATCTTTTTAAGCTGCAAACATACCTGTTCCCAGAACATTACCACTGGCTGGGAAATAAAATTGTGCACAGACTGGTTGACCTCTGATACATTACTTTCTCCGAAATAAATACAAGTTTTCAGGAAAAGCCAGGGCTTTAGGGGCGTGTCCTGTGAAGGCAAAGATCACCTCTTAACTCTCCCTGGTTAACTGGAGAGTCTACAAAATGTGAGGCAAAGGTACCTGGGTGAGAAGCAATGCTTTCCCAAGTTCCATTTTCATCAGTTTGTCTAGGACATTGTTATCTTGAGACTGTTACTTATAATGTAATACTTTATGTATGGGTAGTATTTCCTCTGAACAAATGTCCAGGTAAACTGTTCAGGCAAAGCACAGATTGTTTGTATTTCAAATTCTCTGCCCTGAAAAGTGCTGTCTACCACTGCATAAAAGAGATCCAGAAACAGGGTCTTAAATTGTATTGCATGATTCACTCAAGAGACAGCCCACCCAGTACAGGGCCAAGCCCGACAGAGGAAGTAACACTCACCGATCCACAATGATGCCATGAGGTATGAGGACATATTCCAAATCTCCATAATAGTGCTGTGGGTATGTAAATAAATTCAAGTCATACCCTGGCCAGTCGTCCATAACCTGCAAATCAAATGATTTTGGTTATGGCATTTTTTTCATTGGAAATTTATTTTAAAACCATAAATAAACAAAAAAGTGTCATTAAAAAACAAAATAATACCCCAAACAGAAAGTAGTCCTATGATCAATATGGCATTAAATTATATTCTGTGAACCTATGAAAAGTTCGGTGGGACAAGGTAATTTTTCATTCAACTTGATAAAGGACCTAGTGTGGGAAACTGATATAGGGTTAAGCCTTGGACTGACCTGTTGGCAAAGTCACAAACAAGTTCCAGCTTAGAGGGCACAGTCCTCTTAGCATAATTAGGCTTGACCTTATAATACTCCCTAGATTTTACCTGGGAAGCTAATGGGCTGAGGAAGTGCAGGAAGTGTAACCATGGTCAAAACAAGTGAAACTCACAAGAACTGTGTAACTATGGTAACCACTACCTTGTTTACCTCTCACTATAAAAAGCTTGGTGAGGCCTGAGCACAGTGGAAGTCCTTCTCCTTGAGTTGGACTTGCCTGCCTGGTCCCCCAATATTTCCAAATTATCTCGTGTCTTTTCTCTTTCATTTGTGTGCGGCTCCTCTTCCAGACCCGAACCCTGAACCACACAGGACGTGGAGGGAAACACTTACGACACCTAGTACTAAAGAACACAGAGTACATGTATAAAATACCTTAATTTATGCCTTAATTATAAATGTTATCATAACTATAACATGTGTATCTACAACATTATATTTGTAATCATATTAATATATACACTATATCATATATTACTATAGTATTATATATACTATTACATTTCCAAGCATTGTATAAGCCTCATTTGCCTGAGAAAGATTACCTATTAAAAATACATGTCTCTGGGGATTAGTGTAGACCCAAACTTCTGAGTCATCTAATCCTTCTTGTAAAGACTTCTACAGGATGTACTATGGTGGAAACTAAAGTCAGTCTTATTGGGAAACAGTTGCTCCAGGAAACTGGCCCATTCAAGTACTGGGAAGACTGCAAGCAAGTCTTCCTCTTGCTTAGGATGGGATGTGCAAGTTTTATGGTTAAAGTAGTAAAGAAGTGAGAGAGAAAATGAAGGTGAAGATGTTACTTTTACTCTCAGATCTTTAGGAAAGGATGCAACACAACAGTTTGAATGCACTCAAACCTACCATGGCTGCATTGCCGGTTCTGGTTCTCTAATTACTCCTACCCACTGCCATCAGACTCCTCTCTCCAGCTTTAAGCTTTCCAGGCCTTTCATAATGCAGACCCTTCCTAATTTTCCAGTCCAGTTCCCTAAACTATCTCCTTCCTGTCCTGAGATCGGTCTTCAGTCGAGTTGTTTTCCTTCCCAGCTCTGTGTTCCGTTCATCTGTCTGTCTTGCATCTACATCTTTTCCCTGTCTTTCTTCTCTGTCTCTGTATTCCAAGCTCAGCTCCCCCAGGAAGCTTGGGTCAATACCCGCTTCTTTCTGGAGGCCTTGATGCCTGCTCCCGTCCCCTGATCTTCTTTCTCAAACTCCCGGAACCCCTCACAGCTATCTGTTCTCCTAGACTAGAGGAGCCCTTTCAGGCTCCTTGAGAAAACTCCTGTTCCTTCCAGCACCTGGTTTGGTTTTGCTGTTTTAGAACCCACTTGGGCCTCATTTAATGTTGGGACATCCTCCCGCTTTCCATTCTCATTTTCACTCCAGATTTAAAAACAATTCTCTTCTCTTTTGCTCAGGTTTTGGAAGGGCAACTTATGGTCCAGCCCACACCTGCTCCCATCCAAAACTTGTAATAGTTCCCCCCAAATTTATCCTTCTCTATCAGGAAAGAACAACTCCTTTTTCCAGTTGCTTAGATAAAAACCTCAGAATTGTTGTCAATTTCATTCTTACATCCCCTTCATAAAACCCATTAGTCAATCTTATCATCGATTCCTTCAAAATGTAACCAGGACCACCCCTCTGTCTGTTACCATATGTCTCCTGGGATTATTGCCATAGCTGCCAAACTCACCTCTCTGTGTCCACCATGGCATGCATACTCCCACCACATGGCAGCTGAAGTGCTCCTTTAAAAATGTACATGATGTCATAGCCGTCTTCTGCGGTTATTTTCAAAGGCTTCCCATTTCTCTGAGTACAATGCAGAGTACTCACCATGGCTTCCCTCTCTGACTTGTCTTCAAGCCTGCTCTTCCTCACTCACTGCTTTAGGCATTGTCCTCCTTGTTGATCCCTGAATGTGCCAAGCATGCTTCCGTCTCAAGGGTCTTGCACTTGCCATGTTTTTTCTTCCCCCAGATATCCACATGGCTTACCCTTCACTTCCTTCAAGTCTTCATTCAGATGTCACCTCTACAGACAGGCCTTCCCTGACCACCCAAGTAAAATAGCAGCCACCTCCTGCCCACTCATCCTTGTCTGCCTCTTACCCAGCTTTACTTTCCTTCATAGCATGTATTCCTACTGGATGTGTCTTGTGTGTGTGTGTGTGTGTGTGTGTGTGTGTGTGTGTGTGTGTTTTGTCTTGTCTCCTCCCACTGGAATATTAGCTTCTTCTGGTAGAGACTTTGTCTTTTTAATGGTTGAATCCCCAGAGCCCAGGACACTGACCTGGAATATGGCAGCTGCTCAAAAATGTTAAATGAGTGAATGACACACAGTCTCCATTCACGGATTATGCAATACTACCTGAACTCCAGCCTCAACCTTGTCTCCTTGTGATAAAGAGCACTGCTGTTCAAGGCTCTGAAAATTCATATCTACCATGGGCAGACTCCTAGTCAATGGTGTATGTCATCTGTATATTCGAAGAGTATCACATTGCTCTTCCTCTACCAGCAAACTGGCTGGGTACACTGTTGAATTTGCACAGAGCAACTCTGGCTTCCAACCCTGAGAACTCTTCGGGCCTGCTGTAACCATTAATACCATCGTGGCTGGGCAGAGCCTGAACCACCAGCTATACATGAGCAGTTTTCAGAAGACCCGCTAGCAGGCTAAGGTCAAGACAGATGGGAACCCTGTCCAGAACCAGGGAGATCATCCAAGTAAATAGCTCTTTCTGGCCCCCCTTCCAGACCACACACACTAACCACCTTACTTCCCAGAGCCAGGTGATGGCATCATTAACTAACGGTCATCTGAACCCATTCCTTCCATCATGCAAATCCTTTACTGCCCTCTCTAAATCTCAGAGACAATTCTCCACTTCATGTTGTAGAGCTCAGCTCTAGCATTTGCAAGCTGTGATGTTAGAGAAATTACCTACTCTCTCTGAGATTCAGTTCCCCTCTCCTGTAAATAAGACACATAAAACCTATAGACAGGGTAGTTGTGAGGATTAAGGCATAGAACAGATAATGTTCTTAGAGGTCTTAGTACATTTCCTGATGCATAATAAGTGCTTAATAAATGACGCTCCCTCCCCAAATAAGAAAATGGCAAATTAAACCAACTTATAGATAAAAACTATAATGGTAATCCGTAGCACAGAGGCAGATGGAGTACTGGTTAAGAGCATACACTTACAAGTACAATACACCTGGAGACAATGAGACCTTAGGCATTTTAACCTCTCTGAGTCCCAGTGTATTCACCTGGAAAGTAGAGTCAATGCCTACCTCATGTGGTTACTGTGAGAAGTAAATAAGACAGACAATGGAGATAAAACTCATATCCATATCTAGTCTATCGTACTTACGTAATAAATATTAACTGCTTAGATGTACTGAAACATCAATAGTTTACTTACAACTGATATGCTTTCATTAACTTAAAGATGTGCCGTAAACCTACTTGCCGAACTCTCATTACCCTAGTTAAAGCCGTAAATGTAAAAGCAGAAGAAATGTATTTTTCAAAAACGATTCTATAATCCAAACTGGCCTTATTTCCAATAGAATAGTGAGTTGTCATTGTTGAGTAGAGGTAAAGGATCTACTTTGTTATCCTTGATATCGCACACAAATGGCATTGTAAGTTAAGCCCGAAACCTGGGGGAGTGGAAACTGCTGTGGACTGTAGATAATTATGTTATTAATCTGCTTTTTAAAATAGCAAAACAAGAAGTCTTTAAATAGCTTCTGTATCACAGATAATATGCTCTAAGTTTATTCAGCACAATCTTTCTCTGTTGGAAGATGCAAGACACGGCCAAGCTGGGGAAGTGACACATTAACTGAGCCATTTTATACAACATCAAACCCCAGAACTCAATCCAAATCTCTTTTCTCATTTAATGATACAGTATATTGGAAATCTTCTTTCTAAGTCATTAATATATTTTTTTTGCTTAGAATATTTCTTGCATTATTTTTCAAGTGGATTCCCCCAGGGAGAAAAACAGTTTTGCTGCGAAGTCCCTCACTTTGTGACCCACTCTCTCCTCCAGGCAGTGACCATGGCTGCTGCCAATTTCAGGCTCAGGGCTACCCCTCCACCATCAGAGAGGAAGGGAGTCTAACCCCTCAGCTCTGTTTCCAAGAATCCCACACACGAACATCAGCACCTTGAGACTCTGAGTTTGCCTTTCCTGCCAATTTAGGTTAATCTACTTATCCTGAATTCTACTGGAGAAAAGGACATAAATGCAGGAACTGTCTCTATTATACACTGATTATTTTCAACCAAGGCAGGCCCTCTCACTGCCTCCCTACATCTTCCACAAAATTATCTTGCTTTTGAGAGGGCTTCTTTTGACACAAATAGATTGGGCTGTTTACACGATTCCATCATTGCTTTTTAGACTTTAACAATCTACCTTTCCTATTAGTCATACAGATTTACCTCGTTCTCTTTTAAGAGTATCTATTATTAAATAGTAGTGCTATATTTAACCATTCTATTGATGGAATGGCTTTTTTACTAATGGCTTTGTAATTGTTAAATACAATGGCCACTTTTCCATCTTAATCCTACTGGCTTTCTGACACTCTTAATGACCTCTCTGCCCCCTCCCCTCCAAACTCTTCCCTGGGCACCTTCCTCCCTTCCTGTTCTCTCCTACGTTGCTCCTCATTCTTAGTCTCTTGATCTGGCTTCTCCGGGACACTCTGCCTCTTACAGGTTTCTACCTGTAACAGTAATTTTTAAATTTTCCCCATTTTTATTGGGCATCCCTATCCACCCACCCCCAAGCATCAGATCTCTTTCTACTTGCTGATGATTTCTAAATATATTCAATCACTCTCCTGAAATCTAAATATGAATTTAAAGTTGCTTACAATGCATCCTGCCCTGTAGGCCCTATGGTCAGTCACTACAGACTTGAACTTATTTCCCTTTCATATTTTCATCTCCCTCACCCCAACCCCAGGCCTGACCATCTTCTCCATGGCAACTGGGGTGGCTTTATTTAAATTCAATTTTCACTGAATTTATTGGGGTGGCATTGGTTAATAAAATTAAATAGATTTTCAGGTGTATAATTTTATAATACATCATCTGTATATTGTACTGTGTGTTCACCACCCCAAGTCAAGTCTCCTTCCACAGAGTGACATTTTTATATATGTGGGTTTTTTTTTTGTTTGCTTGTTTGTTTTTAGAGAGAGGAAGGGAGGAGGAGATGGAGCCCAAAACCATGGAGCATGTGCCCTGACCAGGAATTGAACCTACGACCTTTTGGTTCATGGACTGACACTCAACCACAGAGCCACACCAACCCGGCCAGAGTGACATTTTTAAAACATAAATTGGGTGTAAAATTTCTTCTCAGGATGTAATGATTTCTTAGCACTTGGCATGTGCTGTCTTGAGTACTCTGCTTCAGAGTCTTCCCATGGCTACCTCTTGCTTACACTTCAGATGGTGGCTCAAACATCAAGGAAAAAGAGGCCTCCCTGACCACCTGAGCACAAACAGTGCTCCCCAGCCTCCTCCAATCACCATCTCTTTGTTCTCCTCTTTCCTTCTCATTGCACTAACTGAAGCTATCTCCTTTATGTATTTGCTTTCATACTGCCTGCCTGTGTCCTTTCTCTCGAATGTAAGCTCCATGAAGACAGGGTTTGGTTGTGTTCTCTGCTGTATCCCTAGAGCCTAGAACTCCACCTGGAACCCAGCAGGACAGTGAACGTATGTAGATGCCTAAATAAATGAACTGCAACTCTTTTAAGAGTCAAAGCACTCCTGTTAAATTAAGAACCGAGGAACACATTTCAACCTGAATAGTTCTAGTTGAGCGTGAGGTGTTTCCTTCCTGCTCACTCACGGAATCCATTCATAATCACAGGTATTTGTGAATTACAGGGTAATCTCTTAAAAAAGTAATCTTAATATAGTACACTGGCTCCACCGGCCACCCTCACCACGTTTTCCATTAAACCTGACACAGTAATAACCACTGCCTCCTACAGAAATCATTCTCCATGGGAGGCACGGGCAGACGCCAGTGGCCACAGGGCAGAACTCATTTGATTCACTGAAAAGAGGGGTGCCCCCTGGTTGACTCCTGGAGGGATTGTCTGGGATACAGAGGCTCTGGGCTGGGAGCCCACCATCCCACGTCCTCCTCTCGGGGCACAGTACCGCATATTTGACATATAAACTCTCCAGATCACTCGCGGGGCCTCGCGTGCTGAGTCCCTTCTGCAGACGAGGTACCTGAAGCTCGAGAGGCACTCGCTTGCCCGGAGCTTGGGCAGAGACCCCACAGCGAGGGTCCCCGCGCAGGTTGCAAAGCTCAAACGTCACCTGAGCTACTTTCTGTCCCAGCTGCCGCGGAGAACCCTCAGTGTCCTGTGGAAGACAAAGCGAGAGGGCCGGGCTGGAGAGCTCAGGAGGAAGCACAAGAGGAAGGAGGTCCCCACGGGTGGCCGCGGGGGTCTTCACAGACGTCCCCTCCCAGGGGTGACTCCTGGCGGCTGGCAGAAGTGGGGACCCGGCGCGACACAGGCTTACCGCTGGAGTAGCGGATTCCGGGCTGGGGCCAGGGTGGGGGCCAGAGGGGAGACACAGAACCCCGGGTGGCGGGATGTTGAGTGTTTGGTCAGATTGCGCGCCAGGAGCGGGGAGCCGGGAGTGGGGAGCCGGGTTTAAGGATGGAAGCGATCCCCGCCGCGAGGGAAGAACAAAGCCGTGGCCCGAGCTCACCCGAACGCACTTCAAGCCTTGAGTGTAAGAGGAGGGCGCCAAGAAGGGAGGGGAGAGGAGCGCGCGACTCGGCCCGAAATCCATAGGGAGTTTGCCTTTACCACTACGCCTCGCCAGTGGCCTGGCGCCGCTTCACTGCTCCCGGCCATGTTTCTCCCAGGAAAAGTGGGGAGGGAAGGACCGGGGAGGGGTCGGGGTGGGCCCTGGAGG